CCTCCATTAAATTTTCAAAGTGATCCGTTGTCTGGTTCACCAGAAACGTCTAATGTGCCATCCACCGTGAATCATCCTGTATATGGAACATATGGAACACTAAACGCAATTTTTTGGTTTTCAGTCCTCATTTACCGGTTTTTTTCGAGGTAATGAAAATCTTAGATAATTTTGAATTTTCAGGAACGTAACAACATTCAATTTTGAACTGATTCGTCTCATTTTTTAAAAAATTCCAGAAATCCAAAGTCATATTTGACGTAATGATCTTTGAAATATGACATGCCAATTTTCCTTTTATAATATTCAGTGCTTTCCCAGAATTGGAAGATGTCATAACCTTCACCTACGCAGGCTTGTCCTCAAATGCAGTTAAGTCTAGCAATGGTAGTTCAGCCTACCACTACTGATGAGAACTTGTTGGTTATAGATAGACTCTAGTTCCACCTACTTGCCTTGCAATGGAAGTTGCAACGAGGATGAATCTTGTTCGGTGGTCAATGTAGAATCTTGGCATTGCAACGGACTAGCTTAAGGAGACTTGTTCATGTTCAACATTCGCAAATTAAGGCTTTTATCGATCCTATAGATTGCGCCTTCATGAAGGGAGATGTCATAGCCTTTACTCACCCAGAATTATCCTTTGAGGACAATTGAGTCCAGCAATGCAATGCAAGTTCCACTTATTATAGTCGAAGTAAACGATATTTTGCACTCTCAAAGATGTCGGCACTCTCAAAGGGTAAAAAAACCAATACATAGAAATGAACCGGCAGCAAACTAGTCCACCTGTACTGTAGACTTCATATTGGATAATTTTTACTAACCGAGTTTTATGATTGACTGGAGAGTCATTAAATTATATTTGAAGTCATGTTACGGTGACGAATAGAAATCAGGACTTGCGGGGATGGTTAACGCCGTCATGTTCAGTTCAGGAACTGATCGCAATTCGAGTATGTATTGTAATTCGATATTGGTGGAGTTATAATTTATTGAAATTTCTGTTATCTGTTTGAAGTATGGCGTCCTTGGACAATTGTGAATAGTAATAACGAGTGTGTTTACAACGCAGACTTTTTCCAGTGTAGTGATTCCAATAGCGATCGTGAACAATGCGAAAAAGAAATACTAGTGAATAAGATTCGGATGCATTTGGATATTGAAACACAGAGAGTATGTTTCAATGTATATGAGAATCTACATCTCAAGTTTGGTTTCGAGGGAAACAAACTATTACAAGCAACATCAGATTTGACTGAAATTTCTTTCTTAACTGTACGTAAAATAGTCAAAAACAAACTTTATCAACGCAAGGTGCGATGTGATACGGGATCACCAAAACATTCAGATGTAAATTATTATAGTTTCTGGGCTCATTATATACCACATCCAGCCCATCAGTATTTTTAGTGTGTTAACAAACGTTTTAGAAAAGAACAAAAAACAAGAGGCTGAAGATATATCACAGATAAAGAGACATATTATTATTTTCGCTATGACTAAGTTTGATGAAACGGTTTCTTCAAGATAAATCAGTCGATAATTACACAAAAGTCACGAATCAGCAAAAATTATACTGAAAAAGCATGGATATCAAGCGTTCAAATATCAATTACGAGTATATCAACAGTATGCTGATGATGGCAATAGGCATGTAGTCTTTTTTATTACCGACTACTTCAAAATTCTAGATTTACTCAGGTTTCATCAACTTTCTTCTATTTTCTGATGGATCACGATTCACAAATGATGATATGATTCAATGGGTAAAATACTCGGTACTGGGTCAAACAAACTTAAGATACAATGAGAGATAAAGAGAGATATATATATAGAGAGAGAGAGAGAGAGAAGAGTTATTATCAGGTTTGTTCTGGTTCTAACATTCGAAACTGTTTGGAAACTGCGCAAGACATGATGCTTACAAACAAAAAATCTCAAACAGTCCGAAATAGTCTCGGACACTTGTTTAAACCAGAACGCATTTGGAGGAGACCACTCTGCCAACTATCGTATATATGAAGAGATGAAGACAAAAACATACTGTTGATCATGTCCATTTTGTTATGTAGCGTATCCTTGTAGTCAGTTCAAATGTTATCTAGCCTCAATCATCAATTATTCAAATCAAATAAATAAAAAAACATNATTAAATCGTCGTTTTCCCGTAACAGAAAAAAATTGTGTATTATACACGGGAAAAATATACTTTTTTTCCTTGTATAATAAATAACTATTATTAACGCTGAATTATACGAAAAACATTTTTTCTCTATTCCGTTTGTATTCTAAACATTCGTATGGAATCAAAT